CAACTCCAGCAATGCGGTGGTGTGATGTCTGTAGCCAAGGAGTTGCTTTTTTCATTTCCAGTTCCTGCCTCCTCCTAGAACAATGTGTGTGTGCATGTGCCTTCAAGTCACCTGTCAACTTATGGCAACCCTATGAACTTCATAGGGTTTTCTTTGGCCAAGAATACAGAGTGCATTCCCAGCACCATAGAACAGAATCGGCAGCCTCTAGGTGTCAGACTTGTACTTTTCATTTGCATGCTTTCTGGAAAACGGTTACCCATGTGTACATTAGGGTCTGGAACAATGAATGGTTCAGAGATGCAGACTAGTTGGTTACTCAAGAAACTCTGAATGAACAACATAACATACACAATACAGCGATGAAGTGGGGATTGCTGTTAAAGCTTGCCAGCAGACAAGGAATATTAGTTTAGACTCTTCTGGCTTAGACTCGCATGTGCTTGCATCCTAGCTGACTTTTCAAATCTCTCCAGCACTAATTTCTAGATGAGCAGTTTTGTGTGGAAAGCAAAAGGGACTTCTTGCAGATGAAAGGTAACCTATTTTACCCAATGGATGGCAGGTATATTCCTTTTAAAAACAAGTTAGCCCTACTCAATTCATTAGTTTCTAGAATCTTTTGGGATGATCAGAAGACTCAGGAACAGGCCATACATATAAGTCATCAGTGCAATGGTGTGTGTGTGTGGGGGGTGTCCCCGGCTAATATACATCTAATGAAAACAAAAGCTCTATCTTATTTGTGAATTTCTGTTCTCATTATGGGAAAGAGGGCAATTAGAATTGGGAAGAGCCCCATCCCCAGGACTGACAGGCAATCTCTAAGGCAGCTTCATCCAAAAGAGGTTTCCTCCCCACCAGTTTCAGAATGATCCAGAGAGGTTCCAGAGCAATGGATATGTTATATATAAGTTATATATTCAGAATCCCACAGCTATCCCTGTCCTTCTTGGACACTGTGATGAAGACCTCCACTAATGCTTCTTCTTTCCATGGGACTGATTCTGTGGCCTGAATCTGGAAGAGCTGCTGTACCTGAATGAGTACTACAATGCTTTGTGGGATAATTCAGGAGGCAAGTTCCAGTCCTGGGACTGGAGCTCAAGAAAGTAGCCCTGTTGGCCATTACCATTACCTAGTAATCTGAAAAGAACTGTCTTCAGATATCAGAGGGATAGCTCAAGCTTACTCCCACCACTAACTCCCCATCTGTTGAGTTGGTCTTTCTCCCCTTTCTGTGATTCAAAGGGAAGCTTTGAATGTCCAGTCCATCTGTTCTCATTGTATCTTAAGTATATTAAGAACCTATGGGACTCTTTGGAAAAACAATAAGCAAAGCAAAGTGGCTTCATTTATATACCGCTTCATACCATGCTATGCAGTGTCTAAGCAGTTTACAACTGTAAGCTCATTGCCCCCCAACAGCTGGGTACTCATTTTAGCAACCTCGAAAGGATGCAAGCCTGAGTCAGCTGGGGAAGGTAGGAAGAGAGGAAGACACATGCTAGATGGATGGACTCTATTAAGGAGGTCAGGTATTAAGGAATTAAGCAAAGCAGTGGAGGACAGAAGGTCTTGGAGATGTCTCATCTGTAGGGCTGCCATGAGTCAAGATCGACTCAAGGGCAGTTAACAACAACAAAAGGTATGGATTATTGGAAGAGCTTGCTGTGCTTGGAGGCTTGGTCCTATCTTTTGAGGATTAATCAGTGCATTCTTCTTGTCTTTGGTCTCTCAGCCAGGTCCTTGTCAAGGGAATCAACAAATAGATGCCTGCTGGAGAAAAGGTGCTTGCCAAGATGGCTTCAGATGTGCCATCAAACCCAAAATTCTATAGCCATAGATTCCTTGGGTTACTACACAGGGGACAGTGGCTGAACGCTGGGAGATGTTTCAAGAGGCATCTGCTATGAAGGCTGCTCTTGAGATCTCATTTGTCCCTTGGCTTGAACTATCTTCTTATTACAACCTCTTTCAAGGTGGTATTGAGAGTACCTTGACCTGCAATAGTGGAAGTGGTTGAAGCCCTGGTGACAGTATCTGCCTGTATGAGGTAGTTGCACCGAGCAGTCATGGTGGTGTGCTGGGAGATCATCAGTTCTGGATGTCAGTAGGACTTTTGGAGGTGAGACCTCCCAGAAGAGCCATCCTCCCATGAGTCTTCTATGTTATTCATGACATTGTCTTGCACATTTGCTCTGAATTTTTTTGTAGGTTTTGCTCACTTTCTACTGCAATATGCCCTCTAAACCTTGAACAGGAATAGCAACAAACAGGTTTGGGTCTGATGGACATAGGAAGTGTCTTCTGTTCATTTGGCTTTGAAGGACCATCTAGCTAGAAACTGAGCTCCAGAATCCAATCATCTGGAGAATTCTCAGGAACAAAGAACCTAGCCTGAATAGATGTTTTCTTCTCTGTCTCTGAGAACTCACCATCCTTGGTGCCTGAGGAATAAGGCTCCAGAAAGGAGCATTGGATGTCAGATGAAAACACAATCTTGGACTAGGGTGCATCTTACAGTTCTCTCTACAATTTCTTGAGGGAGAAAGCTCTAGGGCCAAAACACACTGCAGAAATAACCCAGTTTTGAGACTGCTTTAACTGCCCTGGATCAATGCTAGGGAATCCTGGGAATTGTAGTTTGTGGTGGCACCAGAGCTCTCTGCTAGAGAAGGCTAAATGTCTCATAAAATGACAGTTCCCAGAATTCCCTAGCATTGAGCCAGGGCAATGTCAAACTGGATTATTCCTGCAGTATGTTTTGGGCCCTAGATGGTTGAACTAGCTTAGATTTTTTGGGGGGAGGGGGAGGGCACTGGTGAAGTAGCTAGAAGAGCTGGGTTGTCAGAACTGCTTCTGCTTTTATAATGTAAAACGGATTGTGGAAGGGAAGGAGACTCAACTGGACAGGGTGCTTGCCCAGCTACAGAGCATCCTCCAGAATGATCCTTGTAGTACTCCATGCTACCTTCACAGTAGAGGTCTACTTTTTTTCCATCTTATGTATGACTGAAGAAACTGAAACAGTCCAGGATTCATCAGGAAGTGGGGCTAGGAAGGCTAATGTTGGCAAAATGCATACCTGCAGTCCCCTTCCTTGTTCCGCTCTACTGTGCCGGAGATGTTGTATACCCACACTGCAGAAAATGGATTTGCTATCATGGTTGCACCTGGCACACTGTTGCCTGCCCATTCCCTTCCTGGCTATGGAAGGTGACACCTGTTCCCACTTCCTAATTCCTGTCACCTCTGCCGTCTCAGTGCTACTGAGGCTCATTTGTAAAGGACATGCATCCCCTTACTCTCATTTGCTGACTGGGTATTTTCTTTCTTCACCCAGAAACTGCCTCTTCTTTCTTCCAGGCTCATTCAGCATGAGCTGCACCAAGGTTTGCAGCTACTTGTAGTCTCTATATACAAGGAGGGAAAAGGAGAACTGTGCAGGGCTTATTCTTTCCTTAACATCTCACTTGCCAAGTATTCAATTTCTGCCCTTCCCTTTCTTCATATTCCAAATTCATGGGGAGGCAAGATGCCTGAAGATTTCATGACATTTTAATGAAAAAATATCCCCCAATTACTGGCAGGAGGTGATTAGTTATATTGGCATCAACATCAATGGAAAGATGAAATGGAACTTCATATTTGGCTAATTGCAAGAGACACTAATTTACTAAACAGAGCACTTTTATCACACTTTAACTGCCATGGCTCCACTCTAGAGAATTCTGGAATTTGTGGCACTGCAAGGAATTTAGACTCTTATGCCAGACAAAAATTGGACCTAACTAGAAACAGGACTCTGCTGGATGTATCCAAGGCAGTTAAAAGTGGGACCAAAGTGCTATAATCGTGTGAAAGAAAGCTAAGTGTGACTCCCTAGTCCAGCAGGAATTTTAAGACTAGAGAATTTTTATCATGGGGGGAGGGGGGGTTACACTATAGTTACTCAAATCCACTAAATACATGGATTTACTGAAAAGCGTACTCTCTCCCTATAAAAATTCTGTTTCAGGAAGCCTCAGGTGAGAGAGAACACTGCATTATATTTTCAAACAATTGTCTCTTCCTTATTAAATTTTGATAGATCTTTATGGAGATTACAAGAAAAGCATGCTATACAAGTCCTGAATATGATTTTTTCCCCAAAAAACATCTCACAACAAGGTTGCCTGGGCCATCTTACTTTACAATGATGATTCTGTGCTTGAACATCAATTCCACATTTACACAGAATCAGCAAGTATAGCAAATTTAGGATGGGTGAATTTGAGACCAGTCTGACATAACCTGATGGGATGTCTTTTTTTTTTTTGGAGGGGGGAGGCTACTACAAATTTCCTTCCCAGAAGAATCTGAGATGTACAACGTCCTGTAGATCTGTTAAAAATGCTGATCTGAGAAAGGTAATCTCATCTGAAAGAGTTAATGTTGTTATCAGATCAGAGAAAATGTCAATTGGTTTATAAACTTTGGGGCTTTTTCATCGGTCAAACCAAATATTTGTTTCGTCAATGAGAGCTTGATCTTAGGTGTTAATACAAGTTAGTCAGGAACAGTAAACCAGAGTATATTTTCCTTTAATGAACATGAAAATCATTGCCATGTTTGATGCTGTGTGTACTGCCAGCGGTTCTTAATACAGTAGGTATATTTTAAATGTCAGTTGCTTTTTAAAATCAAATGTTTTTGTTAACTGCATTCATCACTCACAAAAGTATATCTATTTAATACCAGAGAAAGAAAACAGGAGGGCAATCTTAGTGACAGAAGGCAACAGACATCAAGCTCTGTAGATGCGTAACCAGCTTTTTTTATTGAAACAAAGAAAAGGTAGTCCCACTGGAATGCAGAGAAGCTGAGTAGATGCGTTGCTTGGAACAGTGGAAGCTTCTCCACAGGAAAACCTTTGGTTCCTTGCTAATTCAACTTTGTAAGATTGTGACAAGTAAAACCAAGTTTTAATAATAGGCATGTAACTAACTACTTAGTAAGCCAGCATGGCATAGTGGTTTGAGTGTGTTGGACTACAACTCTGGGGACCAGAGTTTGATTCCCTGCTCAGTCATGAAAACCACTGGGTGACCCTGGCAGGTGACATGCTCTCAGCCTCAGGGGATGGTAACGGCAACTTCATCTGAACAAATCTTCCCAAGAAAACCAATGATAGGTTCTTGCCTTAGGGTCACCATAAGTTAGAAATGAAGGCACACAACAACAAACATAAAAACTTACCCTTTGCCTATGACAAATAATTTTTTAAAAAAATCTTAATATGACAGTCAAGGAAGAATCTGTCCATTTACTCCTTTCTGTTTAGGACCTAATGTATTAGGACTTGTAGTAAACTTACCCTGAAAGCTTACCAGTACTAATAAATACCATTTTTACTATACACAATACTGTGTGAAATATACAACTAAAAAGCAGGACAGGAAGTTGCAATTTTCCAGAGATTTCATGAAGATGCTGCCATGTTACGCAAGTTGTACAGTGGGCCCTTGTTATCCTCTGGGATTTTAATATATATATATTCATTATATGTATTAAATATAGTAAAAGAGTGTCTCTTATATATAGTGGCAAAATCAAGGTTTGTTTTTTTAAAACTTATATTTGTTTTGAATATTTTCAAGCAATGGATGGTTGAATCCATGGATATGGAGGGCTGACTGTAATACTAAAGACAAAAACATAGGCAAGGATAATTAACAATATAGGGGAACGGCTATATGGGCAACATTAGGAGACATACCTAAGTATCAAAACCAACCCTACCAAACTTGTGTATAAAATTTCAGCATATTGAATGAGTTTAAATCAATATATTAAGAGCAGCAGTAGCAAAGCAGGCTTGTAATACATCAAACTTTCCACAGTAACTAGATTCTACCATGGCAAATTTTAGCAACATACAAGGACCTATTGTGTCAAGTTATGACCAACAGCTTTTTGCAAAGAAAACCCAAGTTTATTTTGTAGTAGCAATAGTTTCTTTTTTATTTTTAATATACTTTAGGAAACAATATACAAAGCTGAGCTTTCTCACCATTTTCAAACAGTGAGATACTCCAATTACACAAATTCAGCGTTTTGTGATGGCTAAGAACAGCAGTCAGCACCAGACTTGAACAGTTAGCTACAACACAAACATCCTTTGAAATGAAATGTCATAATAGCAAGACAGGTAAAACCAGGAGTTAACATATGACGACTGTTTGGGAGGTGTCACTGATCCTTGTTGAATGTCATTAAATATTTTATACACAATTTTCTATTTACTTTTTTTAAAAACAAAACCTCTCGAGGATTTATTTTCAATACAAAAGTATTCAACAAGAATAGCTCTGATAAAGAATCCCCAAAGAGTTCAAATTCTAATATGTACTGACCAAAGAAAATGAAAACCAGTGTTTCTTTGTTTTAAACATGTTTATTACAACAGATACAATTCACATCTGACTAGCTTTTTTTCTTCTTCTTTCCCTCCCACAATCATGTTGACATGTTCATTGGGCTGTTTTCTTATAATCTGAGAAAGGGATGTACTTTCAGCACACATGCCCAGCAGTACTACCAGTCCATTCTTACAGGGTGCAAATGGAAATACATTTCAATAATTTATACGAACAAGTGGGTTATGCTCAATCACTGCAATTTTAAGCTACTGTACACAGGAATGAAAAGATTATAGAAAAGTGCCATAGCAACAGTGCCTTAAGAAAGGAGGAAATTAGAAGATTTTTTAAAAAAAAACTGATAAAATCAGACCTAGGATTTCAAGGGGGAAATGAACACAGAAAATGAAAACACTGCTCTGTAAAACAGAAATGGAAAAGCACTGCTCTTGATTCGGTGCAAGTGTGGAAACAGTTGTTTCATGATATTTTATACATTACCCAAACTGTTTCAAACTGTCGCAGCCTTGAGACACAGATCGCCTGGCGCTTGCATTGTATTTTAGGAAATGCCAAGATTTCTGAATGATAAATTAACTAAAAAAGAGAGCTAATTTTGCAGACAGGTTTACATGTAAAAGGCTAGGTATTTAGCCACCTCAGCATTGATTAGTTTTGGATGTCTAAGCTCTGATACACATGGCTTCCCATGGCTTCACTCTACAAAACATATTTACAACGTGAAGAATACATCTACAAGAAATCTACATTTCAAGGGTTTTACAAATCTTCCTTGTATCCTTCCCCTGAATGACACCCCTCCTGTCCCCTTTCCCATGTCATTTTCTTTTGCCCAACTCAACGGTCCAAAGTCTACTCATTGCAGCTCAAAAATGTTAAGACTGGGCAACCAGTTTTACAGTTCCTGTACTCAAAACTCATGTGCAATTATTCACAACTTTTCACACCATGAAGGAATTCTGATTCTTTAGTTTTTCAAGTTCTTTAATTTGTTGTCTCAAAAATAGTATCCTACAAAGGAAAAGAAAATAATTAGCTATTCTTAAATGAGCATTTTCATAACATAATTAGTACTTTACCAAACAACATGCATATTTTTAGTTTATTATGAAGTTATATCAGGCTGATGTGTAATATTGTGATACAAGTTTTGTATGCTTTAACTTTTTTCTTTAAAAAAGGACAAAATTGCTGGGCCTAGAAATGGCTGACCTACCTTAATGGTACACATAATGGGCTAAATAATTGTTCAAGATCCAGGAGCACACAAGGGCACCTTCAGTAGTTCAATGGCTGTGGAGGGAGGTATTACGCCTGTTTAAGTCAGTATCATCCTGTATATTAAGCTGTCACAGTTTTTAGCTCCTGACTGACACTTGGGAATGTAGCTTAGTAGCTATTTATGTTTAGCAAAGTTATAAAACCAAAAACATAAAACAACAAACAAAAACAGAGGAAAGATTTAGGATACTGGAATGTTGAATCTAGAATAAAGTCTTACCTTTGCTCACGCAAAGTTGCTTGAATTTCACATACTCGAACTAAAGATCTTAAGTTTTTTAATTCAGTACAAATTTCAGACATGTGTACACTCCCCATATTATGAGCTTCTTCACGTAATCTTGATGCCTAAAACAGAGTTAAAAATTTGTTTCATTTTTGGAGCACTTGCAAACAACAGTATTACTGTATATGATGGGGAAGGGATCTTACAACATTAACACTGTAGGAAAACTCAACTTGTCTGTAAATTCAGTTGAATTATATGGCAATAACATGGTCTTATCCTATTTATTCAATATATTTTTGGTACCTACTGAAAGAAAAAGTGAGATTTTTCTATGCCATAAATAAAACTGCTAGTCTCAACCAGAGTAGATGCACCAAACAATTGCTGGATGATAAGTAAGCACTTATGTAAATCCTACCACTTCAATAGGTCCATTCCAGCAATTGACTTAAAGCCCATGAAAAAGAACATTTAACTGTAAGTCGCAACAAAACTAAGAGACAGCATAGTGTAGTGGTTTGGATGTTGGACTAGGACTCTGGAGACTAGGGTTCAAATTTTCACTAGGTGTGTCTTAGGTTGGCTTAAGTCCAAAATGATTTGAAGGCACACAACAACAACAAAAAATAAATAGAACTACGGTTATTATAATATTGGATCCCTTCACCCCACCCCACTCCACTATAGGTAGACCCCTTAAGGGGTGTCTCTCTGTTTATGCACACAGTAATTATAATAATGATTACTTCTAAAGTGATTCATCTACTTTGGATTTTCCAGAAGGAGTGAAAATGTAGTGGCCCTGAAAACTAAAATTTTAATTAACTAAATATAATGTAAATAATTGCTTGTTGTTGCTGTGTGCTTTCAAGTAATTTCTGATTTATGGTGAACCTTTTAGGGGCCGAGTGCCCAAACTGAAAGGTCTTCCGGCACCAGGTCCAGGACTTCTGCCCTTTGGGGGCGGGACTTTCAGGGTGGCACTTCTTCCCACTGCCTTCTCAGGCCTTTTGCTGCCTCTCCAGAGATAGCTGAAGGCCCAAGGAGGGCGAGGGGAGAAGAGGAAGAGGCCTACGCCTGTTCCTCCTCCTCCCCTTGCGCCATCCTCGGCCTTCAGCTGTCTCCAGAGAGGCAGCTGGAGGCTGGGAAGGGGGAGGAATAGGCATGTACCTGTTCCTCCTCCTCCCCTTGAGCCGTTCCCCAGCATCCAACTGTCTCCAGAGAGGCAGCTGGAGGCCAGAGAGGGTTGGAAAGGAGGAAGAAGAGGCGCACATCTGTTCCTCCTTCTTCCTTAGTGCCATCCCCAGCCTTCAGCTGTTTCTGGAGAGCAGCTGGAGGCCTGGGAGAAGGAGGAAGAGGAGTGCACCTCTTCCTCCTTCTCCCTGCCATGTGCTGGGAAAAGGAGTTGTGTGCCATCTCTGGCACACATGCCATAGGTTTGCCATCACGGCCCTAAGGCAAACCTATCATGGGCCTTAAAATTCAGTTATCTATAAATTATAACAATTATAAACAAACCTGGGAGGAAATCAAAAAATATTTGCATAACTGGTCTAAACTTCAATTATCTGTCACAGGGAGAATATGAGCAATCTCTATGAGTATTCTTCCCAAAATGATGTACTTGTTTCAAAATATTCCCATAATAGTACAACCAGAAATCTTTAAAATTTGGCAACAAGACATTTCAAAATTTATATGGAACAGTAAAATCCAAGAATAAGACACCTATCAATAGTGGAACTGAGGACTGGGATTACCAGATCTACAATTGTATTATGAAGCATGTACCGTATTTTCCGCCGTATAAGACAACTGGGCGTATAAGACGACCCCCCACTTTTCCAGTTAAAATATAGTTTGGGAAGAGTATGACTTCCAAAACTGTTGTTGTTGTTGTTGCTGTGCACTTTCAAGTCATTTCCAACTGATGATGACACTAAGGCAAACCTATCATGAACCTCCTTATACCCGGCGTAAGACGACCCCCCCCCCCACTTTTGCAGGTTAAAAAGTAGTCTTATACGCCAGAAAATAAATTGGATCCCAGAATGGCTGAAATTAAACAATTAAGAATTACTGAATTTGGAAGGTTTTAACAAAAAAAAATTGGATGGCACGCATACATTTGGTATAATA